GCTTTAAGCATTAACACATAAAGTATAAACTAAAAACTAATATACCCAAGGCAAATGATCTTCAATAGGTCATCTTGGTTTGTGTATGAAGTGATAATGTATCTTGACTTGAATTGTGATGGCTTCATTCCGATATCCTTCCAACCTTCATTGTATGTCATCATTAAGGCACGATCCATCCAACCTCCAACAGGATGTGGTCGTTTAGGCGTAAGTCCAACCAACCTCCGACAGAGGATCTTTATATAGAATACCTAACAATCAAATATAAACACTTGACAAACGTTGTTAGAAATTGTTTGTTAATGATCAAAACTAGATTAGATAGTACGCTCATAAATATGAGACCTAACAATCTCCCCCTTTTCATGATGACAAACAATCTACACAAATAGTATATAAAATATGCATGATATCAAATGAATATACAAATTATAATCCTCATACATAAAACCAATAGAGTGATATACTCACAATTGACTTGTTTCTCTCCCTTTGTCAACATCAAAATGGGGAAAATAATAAGAAGGAATGAGAGCAAAAGCTCCCCCTATCAAAAAGGCACGGTGAGTATAAACAAGAAAAGAAATAGGGAAGGCTCCCCCTATCAAAAAGCCTTAAAGCATATATCAATGAAAGAATAAGGCAAACATACACAAATATATATTTATCATCATGAAATATTTTATAAAAGTCTCAAATGTAGATATATTAATAAAAAGCATACTAAAAAATAATCCTAAAAATAATAGTACTAATAAAGTTTTAATAGTTACAAAACGAGGATCCAAAGGCGATATCCAAAAATATTTATGAAGAGAAAATCCATGAGAAGTCAAAAATGATACGAAAGGAAATTTAAATGAAGAAAAAATCATGAAAGCATTAAAAATATCTGTGAAAGTATTTATGAAACTCCATGATGGAAAATCATGAAAATTTACAAATTCATGAAAGCCAAATGTCATAAATCATGAAAAGATATTTCCATATGAATGCAAACACGATTCAAAAAACATGCTCAATTTACCTCTTTTAAATAATAAAAGATTTTCTTCATAAAGAGGCTTAAAAAACATGTCCACTTTTTGAGATTTTGTATCAATATAAATAAGGGGCATATCTTTTTCTATCTACATGATCACACAAAAATAATTGTCGAAATATTTATTTGTTTCATCCACAAAGATAAAAAACTTGCTTAGGATAAAACAATTAATATCAATAATATTATTTTTGACAAGATAAACTAGATAAGCAATCATGCCAAGCTCTTGGATCTTGTATCAACCCATATAGAAACTTTTTACACTCGATAAACATAATATGGAAAAGAGGATCAATAAATCCGGGAGGGTTTCTCAAACATAAACCTTTTTATTTAAAAAACATTTTGAAAAGCATTTCTAACATGCATTTGAAATAGTTTGAAATTTTAAAACTTGCAAATGCTAAAAACATACAATAATTTGACTCTATCCTTACAACTATGCAAAGTATTTGTCATAATCAATGCTTTCAAAGTCAAAACCAACAAATAATAATAATATGAAATGAAAAAAATAAAATAAATTTTCAAAAATGTTGCTTGATCAAAATAAACAATCATTTGAGTAAAAATTCGATCAATATATATCTTGAAAAGTTTTCAAATAGGTTTTTCCAAAAACAAGAAATAAAAAACTAAAAATCTTAATTTCAAAATCAAACTTATTTAGGCACCCAAACACTCTTGCTGTCGGAAAGTTTAGGGACATGACCCCTACCATTTAAATCCAATGCCCTTGAGTTATAAACCTATTTGGGCGTATTTTGTGCACGGACACGGTCATAACAATAAGTATGCAAATGACCCATTCTCTTGCAATACGTGCAATGAAATGGATGCATTTAATTTTGTTGGCCATTTATTTGTGCACGAGAATCGTTTGCAATCAAAGATGATCTTTTAAAATTATTTTGTAAATGTGAAACTTTTCTCAAATCAAAACAAAATTTGGCTAAATAGCCAAACCTACCACAATAATCACATTTAAACACATTCTCATACTTATGATTAATATTTGGTGCATGTGAATGACAATGTGTATAAGTGTGAGATGAAGAGATTTTATGAGATGCACAAGGAGCATTAATATTAGATTTAGTAGATTTTTGTGCATCATAGCAAAATTTTACAAGGTGGCTTTTATAGACATAAATGGTGCATTTAAAAACTTTGCTATACATGTGTGCATAGTGTGTATGAGATTTAGAATCATTTGTACAAGACTTACCACACATATTCATAAATTTCTTATTATTGTCAAGGCATGTTGTTAGAGTTGAGTCTAAGGAAGAAATGTGATTTTTAATATTATTCAACTCATCATTAGGCACAACATCATTGACAATGAAAGTAGAGCAAACAAGATTATTCTTAAATGATGTAAATTCATTTCTAATTGCTTCTACTTCTATCATAGCATTATTCTTTTCATGAGTTAAACTAGCAACTTTAGAGGTCAAGGCAATATGATCTAATTTTAATTTTTTATTGTTTTTTTAAGGATCACATTTTCTTTAGCAATAGTATCAAATTTAGATGCTAGTGATTCATGATCGGATTTCAAATTTACATGCTTGCTTTGCAAATTTTTAAAGTTAAGATGCAATTTGTTATAGGCATGCATTAAACATTCATATGCACAAGTGAGTTCATGAATAGATAAATCATCATCAGAATCAGACTCGCATACCTCACTAGGGCTATCATCTAGTGGTCGTGTGCACAATGAAGCTCCAATAGTACTTGAAGTAGAATCTGCCAAACTCCGTCGGATCTCCTCCAAGTTTTCTTGATGTGCTTCTATAAATGTCCATAATTTGTAAGAACTATTAAAATAATCAAGCTTGTTAGATATAGATAAATCAAAAGTATTAAATAAAAATTCTAACAAAAGCTTATTCATTGTAAATATTTTCTTCTCATTTTTGCTCCACTTGGATTTCTCCAACGTGGTTACAACATAAGCACAATCGATAATTTTTTATAAATCAAAATATTTAGATCTAACAAAGAGTTTAATCTAACACACCGTTGATCATAGAGAAAATCATTTAATTTAGGAGCATTGTTAATAGCATAACCTAAACTAGGTGTACTATTCATGTTCATAATAAATATATGCAAGTAAGATGAATAATCATAAAACTAGATTAGCAATAATACAAAGCGAGGATCTTTGACTCTAGGTGATTAAGCCACAAATCAAAGAGCACCAAGCTCTGATACCAAATAAAAATACCCTAGAGGGGGATAAATAGGGTATATCCTAATCTAATCCGATATTAATATCAAATTAAAACTATTTAATAGCTTTTCAAACGCAAACACATAATATGATCACAGAGTTCGATCACCATCGACCTACGTCTCCGCTCCTCACCCTCGAGGAGAATCTCCACTATCTTCACAAATGGCTACATAATCGATTTTCAATGCTCACTGGTAAATATTTACAATACACATAATTGTAATCACACAATACACCCTCTAAGTGTTGGCCTAGCCTGTGTCACCTTCCTCAAGTACTTGGATTTACCACCTCTCTCTAGGCTTTACTAACAACGTCACTCCTCTTAGAATTGACCTCGTGTCTCCCAACCGCTTTTCTCGATGTCCTTGTGTATTACAATGTGATCTCATAATTAAGCACCATAAAAATGGTTTGTTCTCCATTACAAAAATGAGAACTACATGTAAGCTCACTCAATCACACCCACAACCCAAATTATATAATATATAAAAATACTCAAGCTTAATGGTAGTGTGTGAAACAATAAGCAATAGTCAAGTTAAACTTAATATAAAATCTAGCTTAATGAAAAGATAATCAACAAGAAATATAAATATAAGTTATTTTAAAACTTTTATTGGATAGTTCTTAGTGTTAAGGACTGAAGGGTATTTATAGTTGCTCAAAACAATAGACCAAAACCTAAGAAAATACCAAAAACCAAAATCTAGAAAAACTAGCCATTATTACAATGGATTATTATTCGGTCGACCGATGAACAGTGTTCGGTCGACTGCACTGTTCACTGACACTGTTCATAGAATCTGAAACATGAAAATCTGCATAGCTGAATTTATAAAATTAATTAAAAATAGCAAATCAACTCTAAAAATCATGAAATTTTAAAAAACATTTCTAAACTTGTAGATAAACATGTTAGAGAAAGAATTTATGAAATATCATTTTCTATTTGTGATAAATCACTATTTTAAAATAGATATCAAAGATTCTGAAAACTGCTAAAAACTTATTTTTGTAAATTTAATTTAAAATAACAAAACAACTCCAAAATTAATAAAACTTAGGAAAATGTTTGTATATATGATAATAAACATGTTAGAGAAGAAATTTTTTTAATTTCATTTCTCAATTGTGAAAACTCATGTATTTTGCAAATTATTCAAAATACGAAATCTCTAAACACTTGTTTTTTGATGAAATTTTTTCAAGCAAACTTTGAGATTTTTTTACTGGATTTATAGACTTTATAAAAGATGTAAAACTGTATCATAAAGTCAATAAAACAAGAGTGAGTTATTTTCTCAAAAAATCATATAATATAACAAAACAAAATAATGTGTATGTGTATGATATGAGCTTTAAGCATTAACACATAAAGTATAAACTAAAAACTAATATACCCAAAGCAAATGATCTTTAATAGCTATCTTGGTTTGCAGATGAAGCGATGATGAATCTTGACTTGAATTGCGATGGCTTCATTCATATATCCTTCCAACCTCCATTGAATGATATCGTTAAGGCGCAATCCATCCAACCTCCAACAGGATGTGATTGTGTAGGCGTAAGTCCAACCAACCTCCAACAGAGGATTTTTGTGTAGAATACTTAATAATTAAATATAAACACTCGACAAACATTATTAGAAATTGTTTTTAATCATCAAAACTAGGTTAGATAGTAGGCTCATAAATATGAGACCTAACAGCCATATCCTCAAACCCATATCTCTTCGGAGGACCAACTTCAGTTCTTCTTGGTCGATCAACAGCTATACTATATGGCCGAGCTTCTGAATGTTGAGTTTCTATTTCTAGATGTTGTTGATGAACTTGAAGTTTCTGCCTTAGCTCATCTATATTCTGTGACACTTCAAGCTCTACCTGATTTTGGGCACTGTTATTTTCAACTGCAACAGAAGACTTCACAGATGGGTTAAGCATAGAATCCTCATCAAAGGTCACACTCCTACTGAGTATAACTTTCTTCTCATATGGAGACTAAATTCTATACCCTTTCACCCCATCACCATAGCCTACAAATACTCTCTTCTTTTCTCTCAGTTCTAGCTTACCCTTACTAACATGATAATAAGTAGGACAACCAAAAACTTTTAGATTAGAGTAATCAGCAGGCTTTCGAGACCATACCTCATAAGGTGTATTGCAATCAATACCTATGTGAGGCCCGTGGTTGATCAAATAACATGTTGTAGTAACAACCTCAGTCCAAAAACGTCTACTCAATCCAGCGTTAGAGAGCATGCAACGAGCTCTCTCTAGCAATGTCTGATTCATGCGTTCTGCTACACCATTCTGTTATGGCGTATTTCTGACTGTGTGGTGCCTCGCAATCTCTTTATCTCTGCAACACTCATCGAACTCAGGTGAACAAAATTCCAGACCATTATCAGTTTGCGGCCTTTTGATCTTCTTCCCTATCTGATTTCCACCAATGTCACCCACTGCTTGAAGTTCTTGAAAGCCTTGTTCTTTATGCTTCATCATGAAAATCCAAGTCATCCTTGAATAATCATCAATCACATATAAGAAATACTTGCTATCTCCCAAGGACTCAACACAGGATGGACCCCAACAATCAGAGTGGATGTAATCAAGAGTGTTCTTAGTCCTGTGAACTACCCTACCAAACTTGTTGTGATGTTGTTTCCCGAAGACACAGTGCTCAGAACTCAAGATTTTTAATCTTGTGGCCTTGAAGAAGATCCCTCTTGGACAGAATTTGCATTCCCCTTTCACCCATATGGCTAAGTTGCATGTGGCACAACTTGGCTATGTCAGATTGGCGATTTTCTAAAGAAGATGCTACAGCAACAGAATCGGTCACTGTTGAACCCTGTAGGACTTACAAGGTACCTTACTTGATACCTTTTAGTATCACTAAATCACCCTTACAAATACACAAAACTCCACCTTCACCTCGGAACTGATATCCCTTTTTGTCCAGAACATTAAGTGATATCAGATTTTTCTTCATCTCTAGAACATGTCTGACATCAGTAAGTGTATGAAGTACACCATCATGTGCCCTGGTCTTGATAGAGCCGATTCCAACTGTTTTGCAAACAACATCATTACTCATAATAACATTTTCTCCATCTAGCTTTTGATAAGTTGCAAACCACTCTTTGCTTGGACATATGTGGTATGAGCATCCAGAATCCAGAACCCAATTATTGACTGGATGTAACTATTCTTCAGCAACCAAGGTCAGATCATCCTCCAAATTGGTGTCTTGTGCAACAGTAGCAGAAGCTTGTTTCTTTTCCTACTATTTCTTCTTCTTAGGGCAATTATTCTTCCAGTGTCCAAGTTCCTTATGGTAGTTATAGATATCTCTGGGCTTAGGACTCTTTGATTTTGAATTTTTCTTATTTTTCTTTTTGTCAGATTTTCCCTGACCTTTCCCAGCAGTAGTCACTAACCCAGCAGATTGATCTGTAACTCCACCAACAGCCTTTTGGCGTAATTCTCTAGAATGAAGCGATGACCTAACTTCTTCTAGAGAGATGGAATCTTTCCCAACAATAAAAGATTGCACAAAATTCTCATACGACAAGGGCAAGGATACCAACAGAATCAACCCAGCATCCTCATCATCAATTTTAACATTGATATTTTACAATTCGAGTAAAATCGTTTTCAATTCATCTAAGTGATCCTTAAGGGGTGTACCTTCTTGCATACAGAGACTGAACAAATGTTGTTTCAGAAACAACTTATTGGTTAAATATTTCATCATGTAAAGACTCTCCAACTTCAACCACACCAGCGACAATATCCTCATTAGTAACTTTCGTGATGACTTCATCAGATAACATCCGCATGATGGTTGAATGTGCCTTCTCCTTGAGAATGACCATCTCATTATCATCAATTGCTTTCGATTTTCCCTTCAAAAGTGGTGCTCAGAGGCCTTGCTGTTTTAGCAAAGCACGCATCTTGATCTGCCATAAACTAAAACTGTTTCTCCTATTGAACTTATCGATCTTCACGTCTAAAGCACCAGACATATTTCTCGCCGGATTCGGAACCGAGCTCTGATAGCAGTTTGTTGGTACGGATGCGAGAAAAATAATAAGAAAGTGAAGATTGAAGATACAGATTTACGTGGTTTACTAACATTGTGTTAGCTACATCCACGGGCAGAAAGAGAGAGCGCGATTTTATTATATGTGAGGCGATAGATTACAAGTTACATCAGAAGGAGTTTATTATCAAAAAATAAATTTGAAGTCTAGATTTGATGTTTGTTTGTTGTATAAACTATTGGATTTTCATTATGCTGTGAAAATTGTATTCATTGCAAATTAGTAAAAATTGTATTCATTGCAAATTAGTGAAAATTGTATTCAGTGAAAATTAATTCTTTGTTTAATTTTAATTATAAAATAACTTGCATTTTGAGCTAGAATTCTCTAACATGATGGTGTGAGGTTTTTTTAATTTAATTGTAGGACTTGTATCATTTGCTACATGGTCCTCGCTATTGGTTGCAACGGATGGTATAATTTTCCTATAAAATACAAATATAATGTAAATTTTAACTATTTTTCCTAACCAAACGATGAAAATAAATATTTGACTATAACATTTGCATTTGATGCTTTTCAATATGAATTGCCCTTTAAAGCTCTATCCAGTGATTTGATAGGCTACTTTTTTTTACTGCCATACCATGCGCCTAACACTGTGTTATTGGACTTAAGTGATATATGTAAACCATGAATGAAATATTTGCATAATTATAACTATTTTCCTTGCTTTTAAAACTTTTAAAACGTCTCCCAAACTACTATGTGTAGTCATGACTAGAACATACTTTTAAAACTTCTCCCAAACTACTATGTCATGCAATTAATTATATATATTGACCTTGCTTATTCATCATTTTTTATGGCAATCTATATAGCAAGACCCTCACTTTATGTGTAGTAGTGTAGAAGTAGCTTGAAAAATAAGTTTAGTTAAACTTATCCATTCCGAGAAAGAGCAAAAGAGATCATTGTACGTTTGCATTTTTGTCTGGTATAATATCTAATTGTGACGATAATTATCACTAGTTTATACAAAATTTTGTTCATTTAAAGAAATTATGAAAAATGATTACTTTATTGATCGACTTTAGTTTGATTAAGAATTATATGATTAACTTGATCGTTTATCAATATGTAGCACAATAAATTGTCATATATAAATAGAGTCGATACGGTCTTCATTGATATATAATTAGTAGAAAATATAAATATACTAATTCACATTTATTAAATGTTGTAATTTTAATCTAAAAGGGAAATTGAAAGATTTTTTTTTAGAAAAATTGGAAGAGTTGATAATAAACAATTCACAAAACTACAATTTGCTTCTCTGATGAATATTATATATATATATATATATATATGTGTGTGTGTGTGTGTGTGTGTATAAATAGTGTCATTTCATGAAATAAAATAATATTTAGCATTGAAGAAGATAAATTAATTTTATCATTTAGATCATTAACTGCATGTATGTTGTGTGCGGCGGAAGCCAAAACCAAACTAATGTGCTTCGAGAAACCAAAACAAACGCTAAGATAAAGGCCAACCAAATCAAAATAACGACACAAACACAAACAACCAATTTTAACGTGGTTCGGTAAGTTGTCTACGTCCACGGGGTAAGAAGGGGATGAGGTTTTCACTAATAGAGAATAAGAGTACAAACTGAGATTACAAATTACTCAAACTCACTAATTAATCTCACCAACAAATCTCTAATTATCTCCAAATAATACCCTAACCAATAGCTCAGAAAATACCTCTTTTCTGTGCTCCAAATATCCCCAATTCGCTACTCTATTCTATATTCTAATCATTTTCATATATATAGAAATCCTAAAACCAAAAATATACTAGGAATTCTAAAACTAAAAACAAAACAGATTAGGAATCCTAATAACATGTTACCAAAATAGATTTAGAATCATGTTACCAAAACAGATTAGGAATCCTAATAACTTGTTACCAAAACAAATTAGAAGAACATGTTATCCAACAATTCTCCACCTCGGTAAAGTTTTCCCAAAACTGAGCTGGCACCAATATCAACCAAACATCTCACTGGTTGTGTCCAGTACGAAGTGGAACAAATCCACGACAACGAACTCAATCTACAATAAATTGAGAACCCAAACAAGAATGCGAACAAACTCCAAATGTCGGTATCAACTCACCAAACCGGCTACATCATAAATGACCGCCTACGTATCCTCTTGCCCAAGGAATCAAGCCTTCACGTAGTTCACCAAATAGCCTCCAAAGGCCATCAATCAACTAGAAGAGTTCGCAACCCTTTTCCAACATCATCAACAAATCTGCAGCTGATAGCTCTCTCAATGGCCCCAAAGTGAAATAAACCAAACACCTCCACCTGAGGTGAACTAACGGCCATATCCAAATCCAAACTATGTCCACCAGCTGCACTCGAATCAACCAACTCATCATCTGCATCCACATCACTATGATCCCTAAACTGTGTCACCTCAGCTAGAATCCCAAACGATACAGTATGATCTGGAGTATGTAGAGTAATCTCCACCCAATATGGAGTAGCATCACCCTCCATCCGTTGTTATATCCTAATGATCTGATAAACACTCTCCACCTATCGAGAGTCAAATATGACATACCTGCTCAGAATAAAATCAGAGTCTCCCAACTGATAACCAAACGAGCCTCTGAATTCCAGATGTGCAATCGGATCAAATCTCGCATCCTCGATATGACCAAATATTAGGCAACCAAACATCCGATGCAACCTAAAATCTGAAGCAGCTTTACCAAATCCAATAACTCCAAACACAGTAGTCGGCAATATATGACTAAGATGACCCAAATATTTGGAAGCTCGAACACCAAAACCAATGCTCGACATCAAACGCCGATCCTCCTCCAGTAAGGAACGATCCATCAAAATTGTCATCTCATCTTGTCATCCCAATGTTTCCTCTCTAGTGAAGTGTCTCAAACTATCGTGAGCTAGGCACAAACACAAGAAAGGACCCCTACCAAAATCAAAACAACGGATCACCTTTCTGCCAATACACTTCCTCTATCTGTTATTGACTTCTAGGACTTCAAACCAACGGGACTTGGTTACAACCTACCAATGCCTATAACAGTCCCTAACTGTAGAAACTAAATACCGCTTACCTCCCAATAATGTCTCCTTGGAAGGTCCCTAAATGCCTAAATGTACACCACCTAGAAGACCTCTTAATCGTTGAATAGAGGTGC